CCTCCCTCGTTCAAACTCCGTAAGTTGCTTGAATTTCTTATTCTTCCGTCGTGGAGGCATACTCAGGTCTCACTAAACGTTTGCCACTAACAAATAATCATAGACTATTTTCAACGTCCCGCTACAGCACTTTATTTATACGCTTTCAGCATCAATTCAGAGGGCGCTGCGCGCGCCACGCACGCGCGATGGCTCTGAAACTTTATTAATTTGCATAATATCCTATAATTGACATTTGCTGCGAATTTCATTTGATTCTGATGATTCCTTCATGGTGTTGCATTTTCTACAAACAGCAGTTTATTTTGATTTCGTATCTAGAAAATACTTCACTCCTAAATATAACTTGCATAAATCTTGCTTTATCCTACAAAACATATTATTTAATTTTATAACAGTCGTTGAACAGTCGATTCAATTTCGGATTTATGACTACTAATGTTCAACTCCGTAGCCTTGTAATTTTGAACCCGATCTAGAAGACAAGAGAACTCCCGGATCAAGTATTGAGAGATTTGCCATCGTGGAGGACTTTTTGATAGAAGATACCTGCAATTGCGTTACATAAAGGGTAAAACAACGAAAACTTCCCTAGGTTAGCCTGACGGCAAGGAAAATCTAACCCATGATTCGCCTATCACTGAGGATATTTTACGTCAGCCTCGTGGTGGGGGTGAGCCGGGTGTGTAGTTCGTAACACCCAGCCTCCGTTGGGATTCGAAACCGGTTCATCTCTTTGGAAGGCGAGCACTCTATCCCCTGAGTCACCATGGAACAAGACATATTAAGCTCATTCAAATTATACTTTTAGTGTTATTAATACAATAAAAGAAATTTGAATATTGTTCTATAGGTAAGCTTTAAAAATTACAGCCCAACCCTAAAAAAAGGGTATCAGAAAAATTTTCAAACCCGTCGCTGCGACACAGGTCTCACCATTATTTTCCTGTAGGTATTGTTCTATAGGTGAGGTGAAGTTCTACTTCGACCTACACTAATTAGGGCATACGTAAACATACCTGACCCGTTGCCGCGACAGATCTGCTCAGGAGAGGGGGCTCAGGTTCGCACCGGTTGTGCCAAGGGACCCGGCAAGGCCCCACTGTGGCATTTATTAAAAAAGAATAAAATTAACATTATTGTTCAGGAATCTTAGACAGTTTGAAGAAAATTGGTGTGGTTATCAAACGGTATCAAGCTGACGTTGGCTAATTACGGCGCTCGTACAGATAAGGCGTCACGTGGATGCCAGGTAAATACAGCGCTTGTAACAAAAGAGTAAAAAAAAAAGTAAGTAAATAATGCTAGGCTAGTATGCTTAGAATTTATATAGATCAGAAATGTTCGAATTGTACTATGAGCAAATCAAGTCGATTTCAATAATTTAAAATGCATATATTTTCGTACATAATCATTCTTGGTAGAAAGATAAAACTAGTTGTAAAGTATTAGTAACCAAGCTAATTCTTTATCAGTTTATTTTTAGCATGGTTATTATTATGGCGTATTCGAGCAGCGAGGGCTCAATAGATAGAGCGTTCGCCTCAATGAGGTGAACCAGATTCAAATCCCAGCGATGGCTGGTTGATGCGAATTTCGCATCCAACTTGCACCGACCACAGTGCTGTAGTTAAAAATCCTCAGTAGTAGACGGATTACTGGTTAGAGGCTCCTTGCCGTCAGGCTAACCATGGGATGTTTTTCTCTCCATCTAACGCAAATGCTGGTTAGTTCCATCAAAAAGTCCTCTTAGTAGGAAAATTTCTCTCAATACTTGATCCAGGAGTTCCCTTGTCCTCTGGATTGAGTTCAGAATTACAAGGCTAAGGAGTTGAACATTCGTAGTCGTAAACCCAAAAAATTGTGTCGGTTGTTCAAGGATGGTTATAAAATAAAATAAAAAATTTGACTTATTTAGTTCACCATAACTTAGTTTTAAATAAAAAATTATGTAGCTACACTTTGAACTAACATTGATTAGGTCTTTACATAAATTTAATCTTAAAAAAAAACCTCACAGTCTAAAGCACTACAATTCATTGAAAACACAGTATGCATGCAACCCAGATGTGTTGCAGCCATTTTGTCGATCAATTGGTAACTTTAGTGTGAAAAGCAACCCAAAAATGAGTGATATTGCCAGGACGTTTTGGTCATCACTATAACAAAGTCACAGACAAGGTATAGTTAGTTCACCAGGAGTTGGCACTTGGTTCCACCTCCTCGGACGCAGAGTTCATTTCAGAGCGGAAGTAAGAAGAGAAACATCTCCGCTCTTGAAATTGAGACAACCCTTAATGCGCGACAAACACAAACAGTGTCTTCTTTTTCGGTCACCTACTTCGCTTTATCATCTGCTATTATACCTTTCATTTCTCTAGCTAATTAAATATATTTTAAATTTAAAAAACAGCTGTTTTCCCAGCAAAATATCTCAAAAAGGACAAACTATTCACTCAAAAGAGAGAAATATCATAAGAAATGGAGCGAAATATCATCAAATTTATGAAATATTTAATGTTAAAAAAATGCAGATAAAGTTTGCGAAATAAATATTTTTGCCATACGATCGCCAAATAGCAGCCTTGTTCAGAATTGCTCACAATCTTCTCCCAAAAATAGAGAAATAGTATCGTCGCATACCACGTGATGAAGGCGGAGCCAAGTGCCAACTCCTGGTGAACGAACTATACTTGCCTGATTATCTATCGCCTATCGCTTACATAGCTTTTTTTCGATGACAAATTTTTTCGTCAATGTCGTGTAAATATGTAACTAGTCACCGAAGTCAAGCATCACTGGCTACGGTCAGTGTGCGGGTGGGTGACCACTTGGATCAGTCTGCGTAGGGACCGAGGGTGTGCGGTATTGGTCCTCGTTAAACTGTGCTACCGTAAAGTGCTCGACTTCGCGCGCAGGTCGTCGGGCTACCGAAGCGGGGGTGCCATCCCCTCCGCAGAGGATCAAAATTGTGATGGCATGTCTTCGGATCATCCTCCGGGATGTTTCCCAGACCGTCGCCAATAGCCCATTGAGCAGCTCTAGTGCGACGTAAATTAACAACAACAACAACAAATGTAACTAGTTGCATATATTTTCTCTATAATTTTCTATTTCATTACAGTTGCGTCTATGTTAATATTATTCTGACCCCTGTAAATATTATTATATTCCAATCAAATTTAATCTCATTTATGTTTAATTTTCTATCTCATGACTTTACTATTTGGTGCTTGGCACCCCCTGTACCCTCAAATTTATACCCCCACTTCACACATTCCCCCAGTATATGTGTCCAAAATCCAACGAATTAGTTAATGCCGCTTCGTGGCAGCGCGGAGATGTGAGCTATGTTCTAAAGTTGATTAGATTTGTGATTAGACAAACATTCAACATTATCAATAATGCCCACATTTAAGCTACCGCTTTTTATTTTTGTCCATCCTGCGTTGGTACGAATGCTTTTATCAATCACCTGTCCTGAAGGAGTTAAGACTTAACCCTTAGACAAACGTGTTATTAATTATAGCTGTATGTAAAAATATAACTATTTTATAACATTTCTTTCAATAAAGCAATTTTTCCAAATGATGAAATTAAATTAAGTTTATTATGGCAGGTAAAATGCAAATATTTGGAAAAAATAAACAAGATTAAACTGCATCCTTATTTACATTAGAAAAGAAGTAGAAAATACACCACTTATTTAAACAGAGATCGTACCCACCATATAAAAATCACCATAATTAAAACTGGTATCAAATTTGTTAAAAAGTTAAACTTTATTTTTTAATTTTATCTTCCACTTTCAAATTAAATGTAATATCCTCTCTCTACCTCCGGATTTATATATATATTTACTTATAGAAAATAAAGTATTCTGGTAGTTACAAACACAATTAAAAAAATATGTAATATTAATAACAGTTTTTAATTTTTTTACTCGCGAATTTGCACTGCTATAATAGTACTTTGTATTATATTTATTATTAAATTATCGAATTTTGTAACTATTGAATTTCATTCAAATTTTGTAACATATCACAAATGTTTTATTGGCATATTATTGTTTATACTCTCCCCCAGAATGCTTGCCGCTACCATAATTACCGTTTTACCACTGTAAAAAAATACTTAAAAATTACCTCAAATCAATAATTTTGTACAAAAATACTAATGCTATAAAAATAATAATACAAAAATTGTATTTACACTAATAATCCTCTCCTTATAGTTAAAGAAATCGTTGAATATATAGTTGAATTTTCACATTGTTCAGGAATTGTAAACTGTGAAATTCATCTTTGAATACTTGAAAAAATATATATAAATGGAACGGATTAGCAAAAAAAATTTTTTTTGAGATAAAGCATAAAATTGTTTAATGTTGATAGTAAACGAACATGATTTTAAAATATTGGAGCACTTCATATTCCCTACTAAGTAATAAAAGGGGAAAAGTGACTTAAATATTGGCAAATGATGTATTTTAACTCTTAATAACTTGGAAGTTATTAAGAGTTCATGAGTAGAGAATACAAGTTAGTATTTTTACATTTTACGTGAAAACATAATGTACATTTAAGTACTGTGCACATAAGTGCAGTACCTTTACGTATCTACTATCTAAGCAAGTAAAATATTTGTATTCTATTTATATATTTAAGCTGAGTTAAATGAGACCAAAACAAATGTCGATTGAAAAATTAATTCAAACTTTACAAAGACCTTTATGAACAAAAAGTACAGTTCGGTACTAATACTTACTTGCACATCTACCATTGTTATATAAACAAGTCAGTCCTTTTCTTTATCACATGTGTTTAAGCTACATCCAAAAAAAAAATCACAATTAAGGTGCTATAACTAATAGTTTCGAAGTCGTATGGTGTTACGAGTAAAAGAATATACAAAACATAATAAAACACTTACTTTTTTGAACTAACGACTTAAAAGTCAAAGCAAGTAATGCAGTTATTCCATTTCTGCTACCTGTACTAATCACTTCGTTTTGATTTTATAGGAGTAAATAGTATATACAGGAGTATATTAGTATAAGAACGGGTTTAGTTTAAGGAATAATGCCTTACTTCTCTAGTTAGCATAGTCAGACGCTTAAATTGGTTAGAATTAGACAAATATTAGATGCTGACAAGTAAACAAATATTAGATACTTAATGAAATCATTGCAATTTTTAATATCTGCTAAACTATAGCGGGTATCGATATTGATATTTATAAATATTTACATCTTATAGTTATTTATTCACATTTCACACAATATCTGGATTTTTCGCTATATTAAAACGAATTATGACCTGTTATTAATGATTAAATATTTTAATTTTGACGTAAACTTCAACATCGAGGTAATTGCTTAATTTAAAAAGGCATTTAAATGTTTGCTTTTATAGTTTAAATTTGCATTCAAAAATGAAAAATGGTTCAGAAATAATGTTCATAATTTAATAAACAAAATAAAGAGTATACCAGAATTTGTTGTTAGCATATTTTAAGCACATAGAATATTTTTATAGTTACAATATAAATACATTAAAAAAACATAAGCAATTCATGTATAAGAAAATTGTACGCATAATAATTTCACGTGATAAATCAAATATTTGAAAAGGAAAAAAAATATGAGAAGCGCTTTTTGAGAATACAAATTATTTATATGAAGAATTATAATCATATCATATTAAATTAACAATAGATAAAAAAATTTATTTATCATAGTATAATTATTTAGACTTTTCAAATGTATTTTTAGGTTTAAAGAAACAATGGTAAATAGTAAAGAATTATATCTTATTGGTTAGTTGGTTGTGTGCTATAAAAAATGAACCGAACTAGTGAGTGTCCTTTGCGTGGAGTGATATAAAGTTTCATGCAAATTTTTGAGTTTAAAAATATAGCAGAAAAAATTTTACTCATAATATAATACCGTTTGAAAACACTTTTCAATGTTTATTAGTCTTTTAAATTACATTTCCACATTAACAGGTGTAATAACTGGTATCTGACATTGCGTAACTCAACAATTCAGATTTTAATTATTCATAATTTTTATTTTAGAATTTATAATGAAAAAATATTACTTTTTCACAACAGGAACACTCGAACGAATAAGTAATGCCATATCTTCTCTGCTCATATCCAAAAATGACTCACTGTTAATAATAGACAAAAAATTCACCCTTACAAACTGCGCTATTCCTTTTTGTAAATCTTCATCATTATGCTGAATGGCAAAAGTAAACAAAGAGCATGCATTGTTTACATCAAGATGACTCAGCAATTCTGTTTTGCAAGCTTCTTGCAAGGACAGAACTTCATATTTATCTGCAGCGTAGTACAGTTCCATAGCTTCATCAAAATCGCACTCTTCCATCTTACACGCATACAAGAAATTGACCAGCCTCTTCATTGTTGCTGAACCTATGTCTGAAACGTCAACTGTATTGTTAGCAACTTCGATTGAATCGTGATCGAACATTTTATGAAACACAGGGGAACGAGCTTGTAAAATAATTTTGTGGGCTTTGATGTTCTCACCACCCGTGCTCAATTCTACGTCAGTGTTATAAGCGTCATCCAGAATTTTCATTAAATCCGCTGACATTCTATTCTCACAAGAAACACAGTACAGTTTTGAAAGAGTAGTATTTGAAGATCGCACAGTACAGGATATCGTTATAGGAAATTCCGTTCTGGAGGAAAATCTCGTTAAGTTTTCTAGCAAATCGACAACTGTTGCATTTGAGAAGTCTCTAGTTGCAGTGTAACTGTAAACACATGATTTGTTTCTATCAAATATGTTGGTCATGTAACTCCCATTTCCGAGTGGTTTAGGATTATGCAGATTTAAATATTTCGCTAAACCGGTAAATCTGATTTCAAGATGTGATTTTTCATCGCCTCCGATGTGGAATTCAACGCTCCGCAGAGTGTTAGTCTTATTTAAATCTGACTCTTCGAGTTTCCATTCGAAAAACAAGAAGAGTTTGGAATAAAATATGAAAAGATTTTTATCTTGCACAGCACGAGCCATCGTCAAGCTGAAAATAACTTCAGTCTGAAGTATTTTCATCAGCAAATATAAACTTTTCTCAGCGATAAGAAATTAGCCGATCATTTTAATCACTTCCCGAACCGCAACGGAAGCATTCACTATCACGTGACGGAAAGAAAGTAATGTTTTTCAACTAAGTCGTTATCAATTAATTTGTGAGGAGTTAACGACGATGCTTTGATTTTCATTATTCAGCATTGCTTGGTTAAAAAAAGTAATACCAGAATTAATGCGGATGATAATAATGTTTAATTGCAATAATATTTAGTTCCATGTGCATGTTAAATGCAACGTTAATGTTTAATTGCAATAATGTTTAGTTTCATGTGCATGTTAAATGTAACGTTAATGTTTAATTGCACTCATGTTTAGAATTAAGATAGATTGGATAAGCAAAATACAGGTGGTTATCAAAATCATGAAACACTTATCACAATAATGAGCTGTTGTTGGTGCTGTAGTTCATTTACGTCGCACTAGAGCTGCACAGTGGGCTATTGGCGACGGTCTAGGAAACATCCCTGAGGATGATCAGAAGACATGCCATCACAATTTTGATCCTCTGCAGAGAGAAAGGCATCCCAGCTTCGGTAGCCCGACGACCTGCACGCGATGTCGAGCACTATACGATAGAATAGTTTAACGACTACCAATACTGCACACCCTCATACCCAACGCAGACTGGTTCAAGTGGTCACCCACCCATCCGCACGCTGACCGCAGTCGATGCTTGATTTCGGTGATCTGCTGGGAACCGTGTCTTAACGATCAGACAACTGCAGGACTGGACCAAATGGCATCTTCCAAGCATATTGTGAGAAGAGCCACAATAACCATGTCAACTTTCATCTATGCAAAGATACCCCAACATCGAAACGGGTTAACACGTCTTATATACTAGTGAATTGGCATTGTATTTTTGTAGTGGTAGACACACTACGTCACCAGCACAACTGAATTTTATCTGTGATAGAATTCGATGATACCATTCGGATACCACTAGTTGATTCATTTCAGTTATGTGAAAAGCCGGAAACGCTGTATTAAGATTACCATATTTTTGAGTGCTGATTGTGAGACCTATATTAAGTACACGGTCATGGTCGCCATCAGCAGTAGGAGGTATACAGGCCAACGTTGTACGTGATTGAAACTGAGTAACAACAGCGCGAGGAAGTGGATAAAAAGTCACCGTCACAAGTCAACTGTTCAATGTGAACCATCCATCAATGTGGGGAGAGTCACTTCAACCAATTCAACATTCTATTATGGAAATGCACCCCAACACAGAATCGGGTTATCAAGTCTTATATATACTAGTGAATTAGAATTGTATTTTTGTAGTGGTAGACACATTACACGAATCAAATTTGCCTTTTTTGTTAGAAAAATCTGTTGACACATTGATGATGTTCCTCACAAGGGAATTCATTTTGTCTTATATCATGAGCACATAATTTCCGTTTCCAAAAAGCTTTAGGGTTGTACAAATTCAAATTTATATCTCTATCACCACCAACTTCAAGAAAAGATGCTTCTTTCCCTGTAATGTTAAATTTTGAGTTACGAAAGTGAATTTTTCTTCTGAAATCTTACTTTTCGAGTTTCCATTAAAAAAAAGAAATGTTTAGAATAAACTATGAAAATATTTTTGTCTTGTGTAACGCAAAACATTGTTAAGCTGCAATTTATACAATAATTGAGCTTTCTCAGCAGCAGTAATGATAAATTTTATTTTAAATTATAAGGATCATCTTATCGTTTTTAATCGTTCTCTGAAACACAATGAATACAATTCACAATCACATGATCAAATCAAAATTATGTAATAAACTACAACGGTATCAATTAATATGTAGACGGGTAAACCATGCTTTAACTTACTGTTTTATTTATCTCAGCTTGTTTCAAAAAAGTAAGTGTACTAAGAATTAATATAGATTAGATATGTTAATAGACTGATAGCGAATTTCTACTAATTTCGCTATCAGTCTGTCTGTTACGATAGCTCTTCCTGTATTTTTGCCACCAATTTATTTCCTTGTTTGACGTTATGTGTGAGGGTGAGATAGCTTTTAATCAAACGTAAACTGAAACTTGACTTTTGCCCACAATTCCAATCTACTAGAGATCTTTACATGAAATTCAACCTTGAATGGCTTTAGTGTAGTTCTAGGTCTATTATTATGAAAAACATTCAAGTGCAATGCGCGAAATAAACAATGATTTTGGTGTTAGATTGATGTAAAGCAAACTACAGGTTTAAAAAGATTCTAAATTACAGTTTATAAACTTTTTATTTATTTACAAACTAATTCGATGGTTCATCCTTTCACTAATTTACAGATTCTCTTATTCGCATGTTTACTGAATAGTGCAGTCAATTATTTACTTATTCACTAATACTGCGATTAACTGATTGTCAGTTCGCAGACTCAACTTATGTAAAATGACACACCTATTACAGGAAAACATTACGTTAATTAGTTGATAAAAGTCGACTAATTAGTTGAAATAGTATACTTATAATATTGATTGTCCTTTACAATTATTTTCCTCTTTATTGATTCTTCCATTCATTAGTTTGCCTTCGTTATTCTCCTGTTTCATATCATCACTCTTTCATTACTCATTCAATCCTTTCTAATTCCAAATTAATCGTTCATTCATTCTCTCTCTCAATCAGTGTTTCCAGATTGGGCTACAAGTAGCAGATATATATATATATATNACATATGTATATATATATATATATATATATACATTAGTTTTTTTGGAACACAAAAAGTTCAAATCCACTAGTTTTTGAACTCCCATTCGCGACTTTTTAATCTTAAATTCTGGCAACACAATTAAAATCTGGCAAAAGGAGAAGATGCCATATTCATGCCTGCCAACCACTACACTTTTTGCAAAATATTTTATAGAGATATAAATATTTAAAACCCAGAGCTTAAAGAATTTTTGGTAATTTGCCTACATTTTTAAAGCTTTACCACAAGAGAGCTGGATCAAAGGGGCGTGTTCTATGGACTTTTAAATTATGTAATTGTATATAAAATAAGTTTAAATGAATGAAAAATTCGTGCATTAAAACAAACTTAGCTACCACTAGAATAAATGTTAAGGAAAAGCGTAGTAAGTTGGCAGTTCTGCATACCTCTTATCCTAATGCCATTAGTCTCAGTCGCCATTCAGCCTAACTCATATAAAGAAGTTGGGTGCCCGCTGCCGCGGGCAGGCACTTCAACAAGAACCAGATCAAGTCAAGTCAAGAGAAATCTGTCAATAAATGCCATATCTCTCAATAAACTAAATTAAAAGCAAGTCCATTACAAGCAATTGTAACCGCAATTGAAATTATTCAAACATTGTTTAAAAACTGAATATTGGGTGATTCTACGGTTTTGTAGTGGTCCTTTTTAACTTCCAAACCAATAGTAATAAATATTTTGTTTTGACTTTATTCAATTAAGCATAAATCATTGTCTGTCTGTGTAGCTAATCTCAGACACGTATGCTAATATAAGTACAAAACAGTTTATTTTTATCCTTATAAGCTGTAATATTTAACTATTTCTCCTACCGACCTTCTTTCGCTCCCATTTGTTTCAATATAATAATTTACGCATTAAATAATATTTCACTTCTTAAGATAAGAGTTTCAGACCTGTAAATAGCTAAACATAAGAAATCATACTTTTTATACATCATTACTAATTCCTTTACCACTTCTGAATTACTACAGTCCTATGAACTTGGTAAATAGTGTCATTCGGTTCAGAGTGACACATTGAAAGAATTACCTCACTTGCGCAGGTTGTAGTTATGTTTGCCATATCACAAATTTTGAGATACCAAATCACATCTTTTAAAACATTTTCTACATTTCCCCATAATTATTTTCGTGTACTTGGGAACTGGCTCAACATTTATGCCTGAAATATCTTTACACTATATTTACATGTAGAAGAATAATAACTTTATAGCTTTTTGTGAAAAAAACCAATGTAAAAAAATAATTTAAGGTAGTCCCTTACCGCAGAGGGAATAACACTGAAAAAATAAGCAAACTAACAATAAACTAACGTGTTCGATTTTCTTTATTATTTTGCGTTTGTTCGTTAAATACGAACTAATTAAATATAATTTATTCTTAAGCAATGTGCAATTAAAAAACAACAGGAAGAGAAATCATGTGCTTTCAGCCAATTAAATTTAGTCAAACCAAAAATTTTATTCATATATAATAATTTCAATTAAAAAAATTCTCACAATACTATATTTTCATAATACGCTTCAAAGTTATGCACAAAATGTCTAATTTTTGAGAATACTTAACTTGAAAACTCAAATTTTTCAAAATTATTATTAGCAATTATAGAAATCTCTAAAAAAAAATAATTTTTTTAAGGCAGGAACACAGAAACAAAACTATGCACAAAATGTTTAATTTTTGAGAATACTTAACTTGAAAACTCAAATTTTTTAAAATTATTATTAGCAATTACAGGAATCTCTAAGAAAACATTACTTTTTTAAGCCAGGAACACACAAACGTATAAGTAATCCAATATTTTCATTGTTCAATTCCAAAAAGGAATCCATATTTATGATAGACATAAAATTGGCACTTACAAATTGCACGACTTTCTCTTGGAAAACACTATCATTGTGACGATTTGCTAAAAATAACAGGAAAGAGGCGTTGTTTACGTCAAGATAATTCAGCAATTCAGCTCTGCAATCTTCCAGAAGGGACATAACTTCGTATTTGTCAGCAGCGTAGTACAGTTGCGCAACTTCATCAAAATTACACTTTTCCATTTTTCCAGAGTACAAAAATTTCACCAGCTTCTTCATTGTTGATGGATTGATGTCCGAAACATCAACTGTATTCTTAGCAGCTTCACTGGAATCATGTTCGAACATTTTCTGAAACACCGGAGAACGAGCTTGTAAAATAATCTTGTGTGCTT